TGCGCTTGGCCGGGGACCCCGGCGAAGACCCGGGCGCGGCCCCGCGCGTACGTGCCGTGCTCGTGGGCTACGACGAGCACTTTTCCTTCGCCAAGCTGCGCGAGGCGTGCGCGCACCTGCGCGACCCCGACTGTCTGCTCGTGGCCACCGATCGCGACCCGTGGCACCCGCTCAGCGACGGCAGCCGGACTCCTGGTGAGCGCGAGGGTGGGTGGACGACCTGGGCTCTCACCTCCCTGCCTGCAGGTGAGGGTCGGGGAAGGGGCGTCTCCGGGTGACAGGCAGGGGACTGGAGGATTGCTAGCGCAGCTACAACCCAGAAAGAGCCCAGGGTGCTTTCGTGTCAAGGTCTGGTCATTCTTGCAGCTGCCACACGGTGAGGGGCAGCAGTGGTGTCCTCGTTTGACAGATACGGAATCCAGGTACCCCTCCTCCCAGCCCTGTCCTTCCTGAACCAGCCCCAAGGAATCCTATCATTTTGTCTCACCCGCGATTGGGCTGAGGTCGGAGATTTGAGGACAAAACCTGGAAGGATCGTCTTGCTGTGGGAGAGTTGGGACACCATGTCCAGGGGCAGGTGTGCAGGAGCACAGGAGGTGGTTGGAGTTTGACCTGGGTCCAGCTCCCGTCCAGGGCTCTGTAATCTTTTCAGTTACATAACCTCTGATCGTCTCTCCTGGCTGTGAAATGGGAGTGCTAACCATGCCAGTTTCACCGGAGTGAAGATTGATCTGTGCGCATAGGTGCTCAGATGATGGAACTTGTATCCAGAGCTGTCATGTCACAGCATCTCCGTATCTGTTCTTATTTACTTTCCAAATTATTCTGGAGATGGGGGTTATTGTCCCATTTCTCAGTTAAAGGAACTGAGGCTCAGAGAGGGGGAGTGAGCTGCCCAGGAGTTCAGGGAACTAGAACTTGGATCTTGTGGCCACCCAGCACCCACCCCCTCCATCCAAGGCGCTCTTCACTGCTGTCATCTGGGTGTTCAGACCGGCAGAGGAGGCAGGAGCAGACGGGGGGTCCTGCATCTTGGAAGGTTCCAGTTAGGTAAGAGCGGATGGTAGCGAAGGCTAACTGATAGCAGTGAGTATGTGGACTAGTCAGTACCTCCGTCAGTCAGCAGGCTGAGGGCAGGGACAGCTCTCCCATCACCTCCTCCTTGCTGGTGACTGACCCTGGCAGTTGTTGGTACCAAATCCTGGCGGGGCAAGGGTGGTACTCATGGAGGGTGTGTGTTATGATGGGGTGGCAGGGAGGGCCTGGAGCTTAGGGGTCTGGGAAGGCTTCCTAGAGGAGACATCTTGCAGAACAGGGCGGCGCTAGGGGAGGAAACATGGACTAGGGCCTGGGCCGTGGCAGAACCAGTTCCAAGCTGGGGATCTATAGTTCTAGACCTGTCCTGTCTTTATTGCACACCTACTTGCTGCATGGCCACGTCAGCCTCAGTTTTCCCATAAATCCAAGGTGTGCCGCCCCCTGCCCCGCCCCAGTAGCTCCCCCCGGCCCTAAGCCATGCTATGAAAAGTGAATCCCTCCCCGGAGACCTCAAAGTTCAGGTTAAGGCTGTGGGTTTAGAGGCCCCCAGGACTCAGGAAAGGTGGCGTGGAAGAGACCAGGCCCTGCCCGTGCCTGCCACTTCCGTCTCAACACCCACTTGGCCGTGCCTTGCTGGTCATTCTCACAGCCTAGAGGGGGAGGCAGAGGCTTAACAAAGACGAGAAATACAGCGCTGCTGTCAGGTTTGCACACTGAGTGATGCAGCTTTGAGACAGTGGTATGTAAATATTAACGAAGGCCTCTGTTATGCATAAAATCGGAAATAATGCCCATCTCTCACCTCCGTTCTTCCTCCCCCTGCAGGTCTCCTTGTAACCATGTGGCAGCCACTCCAGCTGCCAAATAGAAATGCCTGCTGTTTTAGGAATACGTCACCACCAAAACATGTGACAGTCTTGGATGATAGGATGTTGAGAGAAGAGGATCATGGTGGTCTGAGGACAGAATTACGTTCATAGACTCCCCAGCTAGGAAGCCCGCTCCCCCAGGGTAGAGCTCTTTGTTGTGTCCACGCCTCTGTCCAGTGCCTAGCACAGTGCCTGGTGTGTAGTTGGGCTCAGTAAGGATTAGCTGAGTGGATGAAATGGGACCTGGGGACCAAGGGTGATCAGCTCTGTCCTGGTAGGAAAGGAAGAAGCCGGCCGCTGAGAACTTTCTTGAGCCGAGAAATAGTTTGGGGTGACTCAGCTGAGCCGTTCCCATCCTAGAGGGAACCTCTCACCCAGGGGGCAAATGGCTTTTCTTCCCTACCCACTTCTTGTGAAAACCAGCAGGCGAGTTCTAAGTCAGATGTCAGGGAGCACCTCCCAGTGTGCCCAGTCCTGTGACACAGGGCAAGTTCCTCCTCGTCTGGGGCCACTTTACCCTTCTGAGCCTTTGGCTTCACTGTGAGAAGGGAGGTAGGCGGCCAGAGCCTGGGGTCAGACCAACTGATAATGTGTAGTAAATTGGGGCACCCTGATTTTTATTATTTATTTTTTTTTTTTAATTTCAGAGAGGAAGGGAGAGGGAGGGAGAGAGAGAAACATCAAAGATGAGAGAGAATCATTGATCGGCTGCCTCCTGGGGATTGAGCCTGACCAGAATCGAACCTGGGACCCTTCAGTCCACAGGGCAATGCTCTATCCACTGAGCCAAATCGGCTACGGCTGCAGCACCCTGATTTATAGCACTTGCCAGTGTCCCTGGGGTGAATACTCCCACCATGGCAGATTTTCAAGCTACCAATGTGAAGTCGCTGAACATGGAATTGGGAAGATATGTGCACACCATTACATCATATTTCTATTGGTACAGCTGTAAATCATGTTAGGAGCACAGACAATGGTAAAATCATTAGGAGGTGATGAGTTTTGAGAATTGCCTTTGTTTTAAACATATTCATTTTATTGTAGCTTTATATAAGTGGACTTTAGACAATGGCTTTGTTTAACCACCAGCTGACAGAATTCCTGAAAATGAAACATTCGGGACTCCCAAATGTGTAGAAGCTGGACCAACACATGCATACCCACCTGAATGCAATTTATCTGCCACTTTTTAAGCTCTGCAACCCTGGACCAGTTACTTAACATCAGCTTTCTCTTCTGTAAAATGGGCTTCCGTGAGCACCAGCCCAGCCCCAGGCACTTTAAAATGCGCTTAGTAAATTGTAATTACTGTCATCATCATCATCATTTGTTCAGGGACATCAGTGTGAAGGCCGAACATTCTGGCACAAAGATGTGCCTGTGGGACGGGCACAGTGGACTCATTGTGTGGGGCAGATGGCCAGGAGTGGGGCTGTCCTTTTCTAAACAGTCCCCTATTGTTAAACACTTGGGCGTGGCCCACAGTTTTGGGTATTCTAGTTACTGTGGCCACAGACATCGTCAGGCATGTAGCTTTTTGTCTCCAGCCTGAATTCTCTTCTTGTGACCGCTGTCCCGGCGGAGGCTGACTGGGTCAGAGGTGCGAGCGGTTCTGTGCCCTGCTGTGTTCCAAAAGGGCTGCGCCAGTTTCCGATGCCAGGAGCGCACATTCCTGTAGCCATAACACAACCGCTGTCTGGGAAGTGCTGTTCCGTTTCCAGAGCACTTGCCCCGGGAGGCTGCGTTAGCGCCTCTTTGAAGGTAGGCATTCCTTGGGTCTTCCTTTTCTGGCAGGTCCAAGGGAGCTCTGAGAGGCGGACGGCTTGCCCGAAGGCACACAGCTGCCAGGGTAAAATGGTGAACCTCCATTACATGCAGTGGCTCGTTCGCTCCTTACAATACCCCCAAGAGATTAGTGCCGTATTAGGGAAGGGGGAAACTGAGGCACGGGTGAAACAGCCTGCCTGAGAAAGGTGGAGATGAGTCCGAATTCTGGTTGCAGAGCCTGGCCTCTTCACCACCACACTAAGATTGGAAGCAGGCCTTTTGACTCCAGTGCCTAATTTTTTTAAAAAAATTCATTTTAGCCGAAACCGGTTTGGCTCAGTGGATGGAGCGTCAGCCTGCAGACTGAGAGGTCCCGGGTTCGATTCCGGTCAGGGGCATGTGCCTGGGTTGCGGGCACATCCCCGGTGGGGGATGTGCAGGAGGCAGCTGATCGATGTTTCTCTCTCATCGATGTTTCTAACTCTATCTCTCTCCCTTCCTCTCTGTGAAAAAATCAATAAAATATATATTTTTTTAAAAATTCATTTTAGAAAGAGAGAAACATCAATTTGTCCCACTAATGTGTGCATTCATTGGTTGATTCTTGTACATTCCCTGACCAGAAATCGAACCTGCAACCTTGGTGTATCAGGACGACACTCTAACCAACTGAGCACCTCACCAGGGCTCCAGTGCCTAATTGTGCCCCCATGCCAAGCGGCCTCCCTGCGGATTCCGGTTCCAGGGCCTGGATTCCTTCCCGGCAGCCTCCCCACACTGACCGAGTCCGTCTCCTTGCAGGCACTGGGAGCCTGGCTGCCGCAGTGGAGACCGCCTCCGGACGCCAGGCCCTGGTGGTGGGCAAGCCCAGCCCCTACATGTTCGAGTGCATCACGGAGCACTTCAGCCTGGACCCTGCCCGCATGCTCATGGTGGGCGACCGCCTGGAGACCGACATCCTCTTCGGCCACCGCTGTGGCATGACCACTGTGCTCACGCTCACGGGCGTCTCTCGCCTGGAGGAGGCCCAGGCCTACCTGGCAGCCAGCAAGCATGACCTGGTGCCCCATTACTATGTGGAGAGCATCGCAGACTTAATGGATGGGCTGGAGGACTGAGCCCACCTGACCTGTAACCGCAGCCCCACCCCTGCCCCACCCTGATCCCATAGATGGAGGTGACGGGCCAGGAGCTGCATTAATTGCCACTGGCTCTCCAGCCCCAGTTTCCACACCCTGGAAGGGCTGGGACCCAGGGAAGGTTTTAGGACCCCTGTACCCCCAGGGGTGGCTGAGCACACTTGGCTGCTGCCCTTGCCGCACTGGTTTGCCCTGGCATGACCCAGCCAAGGTGGCCTTATTTCCTGTGACTTCCCCTTGTTGAAATCTGGGCCCTCATGGCCACTGAAGATTTCCCCCAACCCTGAGCTCTTAACTTCCTCACCTCTCCCTAGGGCCTCCAGAGCTCTACCTGCTCCCCATGTCCTGGCCGTGGGCTCCTATTGACCAATCAGAGGTCTAGGTAACCACAAACCGTATTGTCCCGAGCCCTGAATGGACCAATCAGAAGGCTAAGTCATAGTGATTCATTGATGTTGGGTTCTGAGTAGACCAGTTGGGAGCCCAGGTAACAATGACCCTTTGATGTTCTGGAGCCTGACTGGACCAATCATAAGGCTAAATGATAACAGCCCTCTCATGTCCTAGACCCTGGGTAGACCAGTAGTGCAGGTAATAATGACCCATGGGTCTTTTAGGTCCTGGATAGAACAGACGTCAGAGACAGTGGTCTCTTGACAATCTTGGTCTGACTGGATGAGCCAGGGGTCCAGGTTTCTGTCGATATAAGGTCCACGTACTAAAGACACACCCTCCTCCCCCCATCAAGACTGCTAACCAGGGGCCACTCAGTGGCTCTGCGGGCTTCTGTAGCCCAGAGCCCACCCCCACCCCCGCCGATCATGGTCCAGTGTTAATGGTGGCCACAACTCGAGTGGGGACGCCTGTGCCCCTCCCTGTGCCGTCAGTGTTTGCTGTGCCACTTCTCCCCTGTGCCCGCCTGTTATTTATTTATTATCATGTGCCAGTGATGGTGGGGGTGGGGGCTGGGCTTTCCCTGCCATCTCCGCCCCTGTTGTGACTAGTCCTCCCGGACTTAATAAAGTGCGAGTGGGAGTGTCTCTGTGGGTTCATGTTTGTCGGAGGCGTGCCGGGAGGCAGAGCCCCTGGCTGAGCCCCATCTCCCCAAAACGCCCCCACGGCCTTCCCCGGCGAAGTGGGCCATCCCAGCTCCAGCGTGTTCTCTGCCTAAGCTGTGGGGCTCATCCCTCTCTGAGTCCTTACGTAGGAATTTGTTTCAGTCCCTCAGAAACCCAGCAAGCTTGTATCGCGCGTCCCCTCTTAGGAGGTCTTGGGGATGCAGGTTGGAAATGCAATGCTAACTTTCACAAGAGCACACGTCTGGAAAGGAGATCAGCTGAGGCAGGGTTTGCATTTGTGGCTGACTCCAGAAGGCTGCAGCCCCCTCTCGGTAGAGACTGAGGGTCCCCACCCTCTGGGTGCTGGGGTGAGATACTGGGGCACCCCCCTTCGGGCATCCGGGGTGCTGCTGTGCCTGTGCCCTGCTGCCTGAGCCCCTCCAGGCCTCCCAGCGCCTCCTGCAGAGTGGCTGCCCAGCTCTGAGCTGGCCACAGAGCAGCCCGAAATGGCCTGCAGATGCCCAGCTGGGAGGTGCCGTGTCTGTTCAAGGCCAGGCCGTCACCGACAAAGTCAGCAGATGGCACTTGCGGAGACTTGAGGCTGTGACAGAAACGCAGCTCACCCGGCTAAGGCGTGAGGGGGTCTATGGCCGCCCCCATGAGACGATCCGGCACGCTCCGGCGTCTGCCTCGGCTGTGCTGCCTCCCAGACAGTGGTACCTCTCCCCACCACATCCCAGGGCAGACTCATTGGCCTGGCTTGGGTCCCTTGCCCGTCTCAGCCTGTGCCCAAGGGGATGGCGCACAGATGCTGACCAGCCTGAGTCATGTGCCCCCCGGAGGAGGGCAGTACTGGCCTCCCTCCGGACCTAGAGCCACCCCCCACCTTCCTTGCTGACGGAATCCTGGTTTCCCTCGGGAGCACTTGGTGGCTTGTCAGTCAGATGGGGTGGGCATCCCCGTCCCAGGTAGTGCATCTCTGTTTAAAGCCTAAGTCTCAGCCAGTCATGTTACTTGGTTCCCCCTAGCCAGTGAGGGGTTAGCCATGGACCTGGGGTGCACTTCTTGTTTGTTTGTTTTGTTCACCGTCGTTTTATTTTGTTTTTTGTGGTGTGCTTCTGACCAATAAGACATGAGGGGAGATTCTAGAAATGTTTGCCTCACTTTCGAAGGACACGGAGCAGGGACCCACTCTTCTGTATAGAAGCTGTTGCAGCCATTCTGCGATCATGAGGTGTGACCCAACACATTTCTCTGCTGTGTGAGTGTGGAGCAAAAAGATGGAAAGAACTTGCTAAGGTTGTTCAACCTTCAATTTTTAAAAAGTTTCAAATCAACAGAAAAAAGCGCAAGAAGGGCACAAAGCACGCTTCACTCGGATTCCCAGCTGTTCCTATGTCAGGAGGCTGATGACACCAATTCACAGAATGAACCCTTCGGGCTGTACCCCTGGTTTCAATAGTTTCCTGGTTTTGCCTCCCATCTTCCCCCCACCCCCCACGTGACTACTTTCTTGGTGGCCAGATGCCTTAGAGCAGGGGTGGGGAACGTCCAGTCCACCGGCCGAATGGTCTGGCCCTGCCAAGGCATTAGGAGTGAGTCAATGAAATGTTTAACCAAATATAGCAGGCTAATTTTTAAGTAGATAATTTTGTATGGCCCACAAATACTGTTATAAATATCCAAATGGCCCTTGGCAGAAAAAAGCTTCCCCACCCCTGTCCTAAAGGTCCTTTCTGTTGTCCCTGAGTAATTTTTCCCTTTGGGGGTGACTTTGAGGCTAGTGGCCCAAACTCAGATTCTGAAATCAAGATTCCACCCACCACTCAATTTCATTTTAGCTGTTACCAACAACCATAACCAAGGGACTATATATTTTGTTTGTTTTTTTGTGGGTTCCTATTTCCTTTTTTAAAAAAATATATTTTATTGAATTTTTTACAGAGGAAGGGAGTGATTTCAGAGAGGAAGGGAGAGGGAGAGAGACAGAGAAACATAATGATTAGAGAGAATCATTGATCAGCTGCCTCCTGCACACCTCCCACTGGGGATGTGCCCACTACCAAGGTACATGCCCTTGACCGGAATCGAACCTGGGACCTTTCAGTCCGCAGGCCTATGTTCTATCTACTGAGCCAAACCGGTTAGGGCTCTGTTTCCTTACGCATCCAGTAAACCGGCTCCCCAAGAGTTCGAGTCATCTCTAAATTCCACTGGTAACGTTCACAGTAGCTGGCGCACAGCTACTGGCCCACACCATGGTGACTGAGGACGTGGCACCCAGGAGTCGAGGGTTCCTCATGCCCGCCTGCCCTTCCGTTCCCTTTCCAAACCACGTTTCCATGAGCCAGGGCCGTTGTAGCAAATCCCACTTCTCTGGCGCCAACAGAAAGGGAAAACCCACAAAATGCTTCTGACACCATGTGTGGGTTTTCGACATCAAGCAATTCTCCAGTTTTCTTTGGACACCAACGGGGTGTCCTACAGCTTAATTCAATTCTGACACAACCCAGAGTGTGTGCAGAACCCACAGGCCAAGGGGCCTGTCCCATCAGACTTGCCCACTTCCAATGCCAGTCACAAGTCCCAGGTTGTCACCTGTCCTTCTGACCAACTGGCTATACATCGGGCGTTCCCATGATCCCTTTCTCAGGCTGGATATTTTGCCATAATGGTCTGGAGAACTCGGGGCAACCCTTGTGTGTGCCGGTTTATTATGTGATGAAGGGTATGATGAGGGACACAGATGAACAGCTAGCTGAAGAGATACGCAGGGTGAGGCCCAGCAGCTGCCACCCTCGAGCATGTGGTATGTCCACCAATCCAGAAGCTCGCTACACCCTGCACTTCGGGGAGTTTTGGGGAGTTTTATGGAGTAGTCGAGATTGATTGCTAACTCAAGCTCCAGCCCCTCTCCCCTGGAATGTAGGGATGGGGGGGGGGGGTGGCTGAGAGGCCCAAGCTTCTAATTATGGCTTGGTATTTCTGGTGACCAGCCCTGAAGCCATCCATCCAGGAGCCCACCCAGAGTCACCTCATTAGAACAAAAGATCTTCCTGCCCTGGCAGGTGTGGCTCTGTTAAAGCCTCATGGGTTCGATTCCAGGTCAGGGCACATACCCATGGGAGGCAACCCAGCGAGGTAGCTCTCTCTCCCCCTTTCCCTTCCTCCCTCTCTAAAATAAAAACAAACCAAAAAAAGATATTCCTATCGCCCAGGAAATCCCAAGAGATTTAGGGGCTCCGTGTCAGGAATTTGGGTCATAGACCACATATGAAGACAAAAGATGCTTTTAGCATCTCTATTGCTTAGGAAATTACAAGGGTTTTAGGAACTCTGCCACGAACGGGGGTCAGAGACCAATTATACATTCATTATCTCACATTCTCCAACTTTGAATTTAGAAACATTTCAAACCAACAGGAAAGGAGTAAGAACAGCAAATGAACATCCATATGCCCTTCGCCTGGATTCCCCGTTGCTGACATTTGCCCAATTTCCCGAGTTGTTCTTTACACTTACCTTTCTAACCGATTCACTTGAGAGTACACTGCAGATGTCAAAAGACAGTTCACCCCAAGTCTTTCAGCTCGTCTCTCCTAAGAGCAAGGACTGTCTACACAGCCGCAATCCACGGCCAGAGAAGAACCCAGATTTTTGATGATTTCACTGAGCCCCTGAGTTAATTTGCCATGGAAACCTCCTAGCTCCAAACTTCTTGTTAGGTGAACGTTTCCTTTCACTTCAAAGCAATTTCCGACGTTTTGCAGCCAAAAACTCTCCTGATACACAGGCCCAGGCACATCGCAGAAAACATTAAAAATCACCCACATCCCATATTGTATATATGTGGAATGTTGTTGTTTTTTCTATACGTTTTTCAGTGTATTTTAATAGTTTTATTTCCGACATTATTTGGCAATAGGGATCTAATTTAGGAGTGGCCAACCTCTAGGAAGACTTGGGGCCCACTTTTGAAGTAAGAAAATTCAACCTACAAAATTGTTTTAAAACATAGCACAATTTTTATAACGATCCCCCTTTACGTTTGAACACAGTAAACATTTATTAATTCCAGCTTTGCCGTTTTAGGGTTTGGGAGCCAATACTTTTTATTTCCTTTCTTTCTTCAGGTCTCAAATATTTTCTAAGCTCTTAAAAAGCCCTTAGCTCCCTGTAAGTCTATAATTAGGACAAAAGAAAATGTTAAAAAAAAACACAAAACTGAACAAGACTGGTGCCTGAGCCCTGGGGGGCTAATGAATCCTGCCAGACCTCATAGGAGAAGAGGGACTGTTCACTGAAGACGAGTCAGGGCCTGTGGTCAGAGGGGGGTGGGGGGGAGGGGGACAGACAGCAGGTGGGAAGGCACAAGTGACAGCCTCTGCTGTGCTTGGGGAGTGGCTGGGTGGGAGGGACCACACAAGCAAGAAAGGCGAGGATGAGCAAGGTAAGCTGGGGGTTGGGAGGCAGGCTCCTGCACCAACCAGTAGGAAAAGCGCCTGAAGTCGGGGGGCAGGGGGGGCAGGCATTCTCCACCCCCACACTAGTCCTTTCTACCCTTCATGGAACAGGATCCAAAAAAGAGCCTTGTTTGAGGTTCAGATATGCCAGGCCCACAGTGTTCTCTCCTTGGCTCAGCAGATAAAGGCTCAGTCAGCCCTAGCTTCCCGTGTGACCTGGCCAAGTGGCCACTGTGGCCGGTGGTTGCTATGTCATCAAATAAGGGAGTGGTACGTGGGGTCCCTCCCTGCTCTGACTCCCAGGACTCCCGGCTCCGACCACCACACCTTCCCCACCTGCCACCCAGGGCGGCAGCCGGTGTGGATGTGTTTCAGTGGGCCCAGCAGCCCTCTCCGCCACTGCCAGCTGGAGGAGGCACAGCCTTCACAGGGGCCGGGCAGGCTGGGAGGGCCGCACCGCTCCGGATCCCCTGTCCGAGCAAGCCGAGCCCATCTCATGCAGCAGCCAAGGTGCAGCCT